GTATCTATTCATTTGTCAAGTAAACATTCGCACAGAGGTATAGCAGCCGAGAGCTGCACTGTAAAGCAGCGTTTAGACTCGGTGATGACGCGCTGAGATGCGCTATTCAAGCTACAGCGACCCTCCTGTGATCCCTTACTTTCTCAAAGCACTCGCTACCGGCGCCGATCGATATCCGTCAATGGCTGCGCTTCCGTCCGGGAATAGAGTACTTTGGTAGCGCTAACACGTCTACGCGCATCATCGCGAAGTATGAACGCTGCCAAGGTCTAACGGTGCATATTGTGATTGGAAAGGTCATTTCACCGCTTGAAAGACATCTCGGAAAGTTCACTGATGGAACCGTTTTACTAGACTGAAAGAAACGAGCTGGACCCCAGCCCTGAAATGGTATATGAAATCATGCTTACCTTTCAGAGCTCACAAATGGCCATATGATCCCGCCGTGGATGGGAGCAACTCGGATTTCCAACAGCGTTTTCAGATGGATTAATGGAACCACTGTGTCATATACCTTCTGGGCAAAGGGTGAGCCTTCATCTGTCCGAGCATAAACACGGCATCATTTGTCGCTAATTTTTATATGTTCATATGTAAACAATAAATCATGGTTGAACGAGTCATAGAAAGGTGGGGGGAAGGAGGGGGGGGGTTGAAGAGTACAAAACCCCTGGTAGACACGCCATTATTATTTACGTTGGACAGGGTTTACAGGCTCATCCAAGACCAAACACTCTTCAATGTGCACAGGGGTGGCCAAAAAAGTCACTTTGACCAAGTCACATATCAGCAAAGTTTTTGCATAAGTGGGTTATGTGAGTTTAGAGGTTACCTGAACAATTGAAACTTGCTGGGAAACTAACTGAACGAACGGTCCTCCAAGTAATCGCGATAACTTTTAGACGAGCCATCGATTTATGGTGATTGTGCTACATTGCGTACCGGTGGCATGGCATCCTGTCCGTGTTACAACCAACAGCCAGCACTGTGCAAACTGAAACCCAAGCTGTACGTACTACTTTCAAGCTTTTTTTTCACAAAGATTACATCCAATGATATCCATAACACGATCAGGGGATTTAAAGTTCAGTCTAACAAGGACGACTCTCCAGAAACATTCCAGCCATTGGTTGGGTTGTTGTTATTGGATCATAGATGCTTTTATCACAGTCCGCGATAATCGGGTGGGCGGAGAAATAGCCCAGCCCCATAATCGTATCCCTTCCGCAATGGCGTGCCATTTTTGCTCACGGTTAAAGAAGGCACCACTGATGAAGGCAGAATGGTTTGCGCCCTTGTCCATTCACTAACGGCAGATAACACTCCGAAGACTGGTAAGCATGAGAAGTGCATCTGTAAACAGCGTTTAGACTCGGTGATGACGCGTCTGAGATGCGCTAATTGCAAAGGCAGTTGGGCACGATGGTTTCTTTTAAGCGCTACAACTAGCAGGCGCTGTATAGTGGGAAATGGTTGAAAAACGAGAAAACGGTCAAAATTCGCGAAAGTGAAACCTCCGTTTCTCTAGTGAAGGAACGGCGTCCGATTTGTGGCGGGCGTGGCGCTGGCGTTTGGGACGTAAAGTTGTGGCTTGATAGGGCCCTTATAAGGGCACCTTCCTCGAGGAAACCGCTATGCAGCGCCTGCCCAGGGTCGCGGAATTCTATCCTGCCAGGAGTATTGGTCCTAGTCGTCCTTGGGGATTTATCGTGCCAACTGCCTTTAAGCTACAGCGACGTTCCTGTGATCTCTTACTTTCTCACAAACACTGCCTCATCATCATGAGTGGCCCTGACTTAACGTATCAGCGATGGGTCTCCTAAGTGGATCCATGGACTCGCTGTTCCTGTTCCGAGTTCCATAAGAGGGAGATCTGATTACGAAGGAGAGATGGGCGATTCTATCGTGAGTAGTCAGGTTGCGCCGTGTCGCGCGCGGTGAATAGCGTGATATTTCAGAGTTGCACCACTGTCCATGGATTGTCGCTGGAGCAATTAATTTCCCTTGGTTCGCGGCATTCTTGACGACCATTCCGTTGGTAGACCGTT